TTCGTTGCAGGAATAATTGAATATAATTAATTTATAAGAAATGACAGTGAAGGACATTTGCATATATTTATGTAATATATTTTAGGGAAAAGGAAGTAATTAATATTTTTGTAGTATTACTTGCATACTGCAAATAATGTAATATAAATGAAATATTAGGTGAAAATATTTTGCAACTTTTCAAGTATGTTCTTCTTTTATGTGATATTAATTTATTCATTTTCTTTAAAAAAGGAAATTCTACAATTACCAATAAAGAAAGTAATTTAACTGGTTTTTCAAAAATTTATAACAAATCATCTTCATCTCAATCGCAATAATTATTTCATGAAAATATATTCATATGGATAAGTATTATATACTTCTTAAATCAGTTATGTTGAATTTAGAAAAGGAAAAGAAAAGCATAGCAAACAAGATGTTTACCATATGTTTCAACTTGCTGACATTTAACCTCTGATTCGTAACGAAAATTTAACCATTTTTTTTTAAATAAAAATAAGCATACAGTATGCGAGTATGATACATGGTTACAAACAATCATTCGGATTACATTTCTGCATGCATAATATATTATTTCAGCATGCACTTTTGCATGCATAATGCATCATGCATGCAGAAATGCTCGTTTGCATTATAAACATGATAATAATGGATGCGTCGTTAATAGTTTGAGAAATGCTTGCTTATAAAATGATCATAGGCGAGAATGTCGCATAATCATCAATAATACATATATTCTTTATTTCTTAACTTATACAAACCAGTAGAAGATTATTTCCGTTTCATTAAAATGACTATCTTTTCATACGGAAATTCATTTACCGTTATCGAAACATACTTGACAACCCTTGAAATTGGATAAATTTTGATTTATCCACTTTTAAATTTCACCATATTTGTGAAATATTACATAATGGTCAGAGAGTTTAGTTGACCATTGAAGCGTTAAATGTCTGATATTTGCATATATACAAAGGGATCATTTGAAACAGCCAAACTTTTCTCGTTTTTAATTTATTGAGTGAGTCCATCATTTCGTTATCTTTTATAAACAACAATTCGTTCATATCATATTTCAGATTTTAATATTCAAATTTAAATATTTTAAATTTACATTTAAAATATTTAAATTTGAATTAAAACTGAACTAAATATGATCAAAAGTAGCTTTTGTTATAAATAATAAGAAAAGAGAAGAAGAACAGGAAGTATTGAAGGATTTACTTTGGTAAATAGATTACCGGATTGAATACCGGATGTTGTGCTTGTAATCGGTATGCCCTTTTGCAAATATGTATCGTTTGATTTAAATATGGATCAGTTCTTAAAATCCTCAACGGTATTTCTTCCGATTTTCTCTCTCTCTCTCTCTCTTTCTCTTCCTCTCTCTTTCTCTCCCTTTTGTTGCTAAATGCTAACATAGGCATAATAATTTACAACCTCATTAAATTCTTACAACTACAATAAGCAACTAACCATATGTTTCTTTACAATCCCATGTGATATAGGTTGCCGTTGAATTATTTCAACATTTTCTAAATTTACATTTTTCTTCCTTAAATTTTCAATTCATCTTTTTCTTTTTTGTTTCACTTAATTAAAAGTACTGTAAGTACAATCTTTTTCCTTTTACAAAATGTTTGACAATTTCATTGACATCATATCAGTTTACATGTGTGAATTAATTCAGAACGATTGAGGGAATGAAGTTAGTTTGTAGGTTGTACGAGTGATTAGCGAATTGCATCATTCATCATTTAGTAAATGCTATGATCATGCTGATTGCGCACTCTCGATGAGTCTTGATTATTGGTATGCTATTGCTGTCACATATGGAGGAGGGGACATTTCACCGCCATTCTCCCCCTATATACCCATCATATGTTGAAATGATTTTCGAAGTACTTACACCCCAACAATTTATCTAACCCGCAATGGTCTCAATCCGCTTCCCTTCTTTACTTCCTACCTCCTTTCCTTCCCCCGTCTGTTCTCACTATTAATTTCCTTCCAAATGGCTTTTCATAAACAAAATCGTAAAATGATGATAAACATCGATGGTTGTCGCCTAGATAGCGCGGCGCTTATTGTCATTATGAATATTGTTCCTATTAAACGATCTAATCTCACATTCATTTTTATTTCAACAATTAAAACTTTTATTTATGAGGTGAAAAGAAATTAAAAAAAATTTCACCTAAAATTTATGAATTGCTTTTTTTTTTCTTTTTTATGAAGTGAAGTAGACTAGTCGAAATTATTAGTTGTTCACCTTATAAAAAGCTTTATATCAATAATGAACAATACAATTCTCTAATCTTACTCTTTCCTGAAATCATCCTTAAAACTCAATGAAACATGTCATTTGTTTACATTTCTTCGATGCATTTTCATCACCCTAGACAAATTTGCATTATTTTCACCGGTCAAAGGTCATCTTGACACCTATTGTGGCCATATCATGGCTGGCTTATTTACCTGTACCATATTTATCTTCGTTGTTAAGTTCCATAATGAAAACCTGAAATGAGAAAAGATTGGGCAAACATTTACAGCTAACAAAACTAAGCTAATTTCCCATCGCAATGCTAATATATTATTCCATCTCCCATTTGACATACCATACCTGTTTAATCCGTAATAATTAGTGGCACACTATGGTACAGTTTACCCTATAACTTAGTCTTTTTTGAATTTTTATTCTTAATTAGTTCTTATCAGTATTACTACTATTATTATTACTATCACTACTATTATTATTATTATTATTATTATTATTATTATTATTATTATTATTATTATT